AATTGACAGATAAATACTGACAGATACTCATGGAACAACTTTGAAACACTTATAATTAATGTTTGATAGATTCTTCATGTAAGCAATTGTCAGGTCACTATCTCTTACATTCTCAATTTATTTTTGTATTAAATCATTTCGTTAGTGTCTCGCGCACATTATCAGTTTTCTTTTGTATTAAATTGTTAGGTCAGTATCGCGCACATTCTCAGTTTTTTCTGTAGTAAATTGTTACCTTATCTCGTGCGTTCTCATTTTTCTCCTGCTTTCTGTTGTTACGTTAGCATCTCGCGTATTCTCGTTATTCCCTTCTAATCAATTGTTACCTTTGTATCTCACACATATAACAACAATCAACAATACAATAAAAACATATAACAACAATCAACAATACAATAAAAACAGTACTTTATTTAGGCACGTAACTTTTTCGTTTTTTACCTGTAATCGATTGTTACGTTAGTATCTCGCACATTCTTTGTTTTTTCCTGTAATCGATTGTTACTTTAGTATCTAGTGCATTCTTTGTTTTTTTTCCTGTAATCGATTGTTACGTTAGCATCTTGCGTACTCTCTGTTTTCTCCTGTAATGGATTATTACGTTAGTATCTCGCACATTCTCTGTTTTCTCCTGTAATGGATTATTACGTTAGTATCTCGCGTATTCTCTGTTTTCTCCTGTGATGGATTGTTACGTTAGCATCTCGCACATGCACTGTTTTCTCCTGTTATCAATAAAGGGCAAAATTACTGAGCGCTGATTGATTGAGAGAGAGGGCATTTTTTCTTAATCGAGGGCATTTTTAATAATCAAGAGAGGGCATGATTACCTGTTAATGATTGGCTAATCCGTTGCATAGCAACCGTTCGTTATCTTGAAATTTGTTAAAAATTGACTGCGCGCGTGATACTAACGTCACAATCGATTAGTATATGTAATCCCATGAGACCTCGTAGTATTAAGGATTAATTGCACTTGAGTTTTCAAAATTTTCCAAATTGCCCTCGTCGCTTCGCGACTCGGGCAATTTTGGAAAATTTTGAAAACTCTCGTGCAATTAATCCTTAATAGTACTTGGCCTCATGTGATTACATATACTAATCGATTGTGACGTTAGTATCACGCGCACTCCAAGCTTTCTCCTGTAATGGATTATTACGTTCGTGTCTTGTGCGCTCTCTCTTTTCTCCTGTAGTGGATTGTTACGTTGGTATCTCGCGCATTCTCGGTTTTTTTTCCCGTAATTGATTGTTACGTTAGTATCTCGCGTATTCTCTTTTTTCTCCTGTAATGGACTATTACGTTAGTATCTCGCGCATTATCTGTTTTCTCCTGTAATCGATTGTTACGTTTGTATCTCGCACATTCTCTGTTTTCTCCTGCAATCGATTGTTACGTCAGAATCGCGCGAATTCTCTGTATTCTCCTTTAATGGGTTGTCACGTTAGTATCTCGCACATGCACTGTTTTCTCCTGTAATCGAATGTGACGTTTGTATCACGCGCACTCTAAGCTTTCTCCTGTAATGGATTATTACGTTCGTGTCTTATGCACTCTCTGTTTTCTCCCGTAGTGGATAGTTACGTTGGTATCTCGTGCATTCTCTGTTTTCTTCTGTAATCGATTTTTACGTTAGTATCTCCGAGATTCTTAGTTTTCTCCTGTAATTGATTGCAACGTTGGTATCTCGCGCATTATCTATTTTCTTTAGTAATGAATTGTTGTGTAAGTATCTCGCGTATTCTCTGTTTTCTCCTGTGATCGATTGTTACGTTAGTGTCTCGCACATTCTCTGTTTTCTCCTATAATCGATTGTTACGTGAGTGTGTCGTGCATTATCTGTTTTCTTCTGTAATGAATAGTTGCGTAAGTATCTCGCGCATTCTCTGTTGTCTCCTGTAATGGATTGTTACGTTAGTATCTCGCGCATTCTCTGTTTCCTCCAGTAATGGATTGTTACGTTAGTATCTTGCACATTCTCTGTTTTCTATTGTAATGGATTGTTACGTTAGTTTCTTGCGCATTCTCTGTTTTCTGTTGTAATGGATTGTTACGTAAGTATCTTGCTCATTCTCTGTTTTCTATTGTTACGTTAGCATCTTGCGCATTCACTGTTGTCTCCTGTAATGAATTGTTACGTTAGTATCTCGCGCATTCTCTGTTGTCTCCTGTAATGGATTGTTACGTTAGTATCTCGCGTATTCTCTGTTTCCTCCAGTAATGGATTGTTACGTTAGTATCCCGCGCATTCTATGTGTAATGGATTTTTACGTTAGTATCTTGCACATTCTCTGTTTTCTATAGTAATGGGTTGTTACGTTAGAATCTCGCGCATTCTCTGTTTTCTCCTGTAATCGATTGTTACGTACGTATCTCGCACATTCACCGTTTTCTCCTGTAACAGATTATTATTATAGCATCTTGCGTATTCTCTCTGTTTTCTCCTGTAATGGATTGTTTTGTACGTATCTCGCGTATTTTCCTGTATTCTATTGTAATGGTTCCTATACTTGAAGAAACAATATATTCTGTTTATATTTTTCCACATTTGCAACACTGAGAATTTTCGTATTTATTCTCTTCAAAGAGTTGTGGGGTACCCATGCTTGTTCAGGCGAAACTCTAGGAAAACTGGAAAAACATATGCTGTTTTTTCCCATTTCCGAGGGGGAGACTGGAACGAGTTAAAAGCCCCATAAATCATAAAGAAAACCATATTCTTGAGTGCTGTACGTGCAACCCTGCAAGTTTGCATTATATTTTCAGTTATGTCTTCAAGTATAAACTCGCACTGAGTTACCTATTAGATAGACTAGTTACGTTAGTATCTCGCGCATTCACTGTTTTCTCCTGTAACGGATTGTTACGTTAGTATCTTGCGTATACTCTCTGTGTTCTTTTGTAATGGATTGCTACGTTAGTATCTTGCGTATTCTCTCTGTATTCTATTGTAATGGATTGTTACGTTACTATCTCGCGTATTCTCTCTGTATTCCATTGTAATGGATTGTTACGTTAGTATCTTTACGCATTCTCTGTTTTCTCCTGTAATGGATTGTCACGTTAGTATCTTGCGCATTCATTGTTTTCTCCTGTAACGGATTGTTACGTTAGTATCTTGTGCATTCTCTGTTTTCTCCTGTAATGGATTGTTACGTTAGTATCTTGCGTATTCTCTCTGTATTCTGTTGTAATGGATTGTTACGTTAGTATTTCGCGCATTCACTGTTTTCTCCTGTAACGGATTGTTACGTTAGTATCTTGTGCATTCTCTGTTTTCTCCTGTAATAAATTGTTACGTTAGTATCTTGCGCATTCCCTGTTTTCTCCTGAAATGGATTGTTACGTTAGTATCTTGCGCATTCATTGTTTTCTCCGGTAACGGATTGTTACGTTATTATCTTGCGCATTCCCTGTTTTCTCCTGTAACGGATTGTTACGTTAGTATCTTGTGCATTCTCTGTTTTCTCCTGTAATGGATTGTTACGTTAGTATCTTGCGCATTCTCTGTTTTCTATTGTAATGGATTGTTACATTAGTATCTTGCGCATTCTCTGTTTTCTATTGTAATGGATTGTTACTTTAGTATCTCGCGCATTCTCTGTTTTCTGTTGTAATGGAGTGTTTCGTTAGTATCTTGCGCATTCTCTGTTTTCTTTTGTAACGGATTGCTACGTTAGTATCTCGCGCTTGCTCTGTTTTCTTTTGTAATGGATTGTTACGCTAGTATCTTGCGCATTCTCTGTTTTCTTTTGTAACGGATTGTTACGTAAGTATCTCGCGCATTCACTGTTGTCTTCTATAATGGATTGTTACGTTAGTATCTTGCGCATTCTCTTTTTTCTTTTGTAAAAGATTGTTACGTTAGTATCTCGCGCATTCTCTGTTTTCTTTTGTAATGGATTGTTACGTTAGTATCTTGCGCATTCTCTGTTTTCTTTTGTAACGGATTGTTACGTTAGTATCTCACGCATTCTCTGTTTTCTCCTGAAATGGAGTGTTACGTTAGTATCTCGCGTATTCTCTGTTTTCTCCTGTCATCGATTGTTAGATAAGTATCTCGTGCACTCGGTTTTCTCCTTTTATGGAGTTTTACGTTAGAATCCCGTGTATTCTCTCGTGTAGTCTCTCTGTTTTCTCCTGTAACGGATTGTTACGTTAGTATCTTGCGCATTCCCTGTTTTGACCTGTAATGGATTATTAGGTTAGTATCTCGCGTATCCTATGTATTGTTACGTTTAACTTTGTATCTCGCGTGTTCTCTCTGTTTTCTCCTGTAATGGATTGTTATGTTAGTATCTCGCGTATTCTCTGTGTTCTCCCGTAATTGATTGTTACGTTACTATCTCGCGCATTCTCTGTTTGCTCCTGTAATCGATTGTTCCGTTTGAATCTCATCCATTCTCCGTTTTCCCTAGTAATCGATTGTTACGTTAGTATCTTGCGCATTCTCAGTTTTCTCCTGAAATCGATTTTTACGTTCGTATACTGCGCTTTGTTAGTTTTTTGTCGTATTGCACTGTTATGTTAGTTGTATCTCGGGAATCTTTTTTTGTGCTGGATTCCATTGTTACGTAAGCGTCTCGCGCATTCTTAGTTTTGTGTTGCATTTCACTGTTACGATAGTAGTATCTCGCACATTCTCTGTTTTCTCCTGTAATCGATTGTTACGTTAGCATCTCACGCATTTACAGTGTTCTATTCTTTAATACATTTTAAAAGGATCTCGCCCATTCTCAGCTGCCTCCTATGATTTTATACATAAAAACATCTCTCCATTCTGATGAGCTGAGAGAAATGCAGTTTTCATGTAATACAATGCACAAGAGAGGTAAAACAGTGCACATTATAGTTAATGTGGCGCAAATCATGATTAGATCGCCGAACTTTTTTGGCGACTCGATATCTTGAAAAATAAAAAAAACAAAAAACCAACAAACAATTAAACGTTTTTCTTATTTAAAGTTTTCTTGACCTGACGCACGGTGAAATTTGCAGGGTCTGAATTTTAGGTTAGTATCTCACACGTCATCAGTTTCGTCGTGGGATCGATTGTTACGTTACTACCTGTGTTCGATTCTTGCCTAACAATTAGATTATAAACTCGAGATTTTTATCGCGTGATATTTGAAGGCTGAATCAACTATCATACATATCATACATGAATCGACTACCATACAAACCGAATCGTGAGGGAATAATACCGTAAATCTACTAGTCATTTAAAACTTTACACCATGACAGAACGCTTCATGTTTCTGTGCTTGTTTTTATTTCCAATCACAAGCCGTGGGTCCACGCATCCTACTCACTGCCTGTTGTGGAATTGATGGCGAGTTGCTTGGCCATTCAGATTACAGCATTTGGATTGGTGAAAACATTGTGTTTCTAGACTAACCCCTCGGCACAAAAAGGTTAAGAAAAACAAGTATTTAATTGGCATTCAACTCCAACGATCGATTAACTTATGATAAAAGTGTCATATTTCCCCAAGAAAAATAATTAAACTTGATAACGATTCAGCGATAGAACTTGATAATATCATGGTTCTTCAGAGCAACTGAGTGACATCGCCAACAATCATGTGACCGTGGCTCATCCCACGCTGATCTTTAAGGTTACTCAAACGCGTGCTCAAACTCCACAAAGGGGCAGGAGATGAGGTCATCATATAGTAACATGTATTCAAAGATCGCCAAGTGGTTCTTCATCTGTTCGGATTTGTTGAATGTTTTTAGGTAAGTTTAGACATCAGTAGAAGCTTCACCTCCCATAAGGACTCGGAAGGAAATTCTAACTCCTCAACCATTGGTACTGAGTTGCAACGGCTTTTTTATAGCCCTTGTCAACCGAAGTAGTGAGAATTTGAAGTTACCTTCCTCAGATTACGTATGTTCATGCGCTACGGAGATAACCAAACTACATCGGAAAAGCTCTCAGTGATTTCTTGCCAGTGAAATAAGTCATTACATAGGAAAAGAGGAGCAAAGAAGAATGAAAACGTAATAAATAACTTTGGAATTCAGAAGCACGTGGCCGCGGCATCTATTGTTCGACATGTGAGAGCTTTAGACTGTTGCGTTTAAACAAACTGCGGCTTTGAAAATTTGAATGAAACGAAGATGGATGTGTTGATAGGCTAAACATTTGAGACTTACTGATCGTGAGGAGAGAGAGGATGAGATTAAAAGTCACGTTAAAACTAGAGGCTACTAGTTTATTTCGTTTGCTTTTCAGTCATAATTTATGCAGATATTCAGTTTCTTTCTCTTTGTCTACTTAAGCAATTTTTTTTGCTCGTTAGGCCGTCAAGTCATGTTGGTCTTAAAATATTCTAATCGTGCTTCGTAGTGCACTGTTTGGTGCGATCACAGTTACCTTCATTCGTGAAATTATGTGTCAATGATGACTTTCCACTTTGATTTCTCACCAGGTTTCGAGAGACATACTGTACTCACGCTGCTTGAGGTTATGGCGGCTTCTCTTGTCAGTTTTCTTTGCTCCGAATTCGTACTGTAGATTGATCGATGAATTACCAACTAGTACTGTAAAGTTTATCTTGGCTAACGGAGATAGGATGGATCAGAAGTTACAGTCGAGTAAACGTCATGAGAAACATTACTTGTCCCCAGACCTTGCCCGAGCACCGAACGCTCACATGACATATCAACAAAAGAGTATTTACTTCTGCTTTTCTTTGATTCTTTCGTTCACTACCTTCCGTCTCTTGTAAGGTAAGCAGGCGTGTTTTTTGTTTATCTGTAGTAGGGGTTCTTTTTTTGGTGATTTTTCACTTCATTACAAAGTCGTAATCGAAAAACGGAGTCGAAAAACGAATGAATCCTCCTGCGGCACGGAAAATTATCGAACAAAATTAACGCTTGACACACCACGTAGCTGCACGTGGATATGCGAACTTGAAAACAAATTATAGTTTTTAATCCGATGAGTATTTTTGCATTCTTTAAGTTGCCTTTCCACGTGCCCACTTATTCTCGTGTTTCAAAAGTACTTGTTATGTTTATGTGTAAATTGTGAAACATTTTAAGTTGAAATGTACAAAACGTACTTAGCACGCAATGAGCGACATTCATGGGGGAGACAGTCGGAATGAACGAAAAGATATTCGGTTTAACATGGTAGCTACTAGCCTGTTCAGTTTCATTAACATGTTATCCGCTCAAAGTGATAAAATGGGTACGAGAAACTTGTTTAAAAAGCGAAAACAAGACAAAACAGTACAAACTTCGCGTGACATTGCTAGGAGACATGTCGCGCGGGGGTTGTGCTTGTTTGAAGGCGTGGAGTGTTTGCACGCGTGTAAGAACGTGCGAATTTTTTTAGGAACACTCGACAACTCTGAGCAACTTCGAGGATGTTTTCATGTGACTGAAACAGAAAATATCGACCTCTTGGATTCCCTTTTGCTCTAAGATTCTACGTTTGTTCAAAAGTGCCCAAACAAATGTAAAAGATGCATTTTTGTGCTTTGAATTTTCAGTCATGGATGAACGTAACAGAAACAACTCTGACATGTTGCGAGAACTTAGCGACACCGAGGTATTGTATTGTGAGCGAATTGTACATTGTTTTGTTAATATAATTGCCCTGATCATTTTAAAATTCTTTTTAAACCTCATGAGAAAGTTATTATACACTCTGGCGCCTTCTCGAACTGTGGATGTGCATCGATGCGCTTCGCACTTGCCATTCTGTAAGAGGTTTATTTTTCTTAATTCAAACAAAGCAATCGCATATCCAAGCTAAGATGCTCTTGAATCACCGCAGGAGCAGGATGTTTTAAATTTAGCGTTCAGGCTTAAGTTCCTCAACTTCTTCTCAGTTGATTTACATTCCAGAAAGATGTTGTTGTAAGATTGGCAAAGTAAAGTTATTCATCGTACTTTCCTAGAATAGGGTTGGATTGCATGAAGATGTTATTTTATTACTTTTGCTGTTTGAGTTAAAAAACTATACTAATTTATGACTTTTTTACTTGCTAATTCTATTTTTATTTGTACTTTAAATTGATTTTAACCTGTAATTTTAATTGCCGCTTTTACCCATTCATCTATTTTTATTAACTCTTGTACTTATTTATTTTAACTGATAGATGTAGTTATTTATTTTGGGCCTCCACTGCCAAAAGCAATGTTTTTAATTTTACTTCGCTATGAAGGAATCAATTTGTAATCTTCTTGCCCCAAAGTCACAATAGACTATATACAGTGAATAAGCCAATGCTTCAAAACAGGCTCTGATTTAGAGTGCAACAAATTGACCACCTTGGGCACAGCATCGATCCAAGCTCTTGTATAATACTTATCTCACCAAGTTTTTCAAATGTCCATGTTTTTCGTCTTGTCATGAGCGTGGGACAAAGAAAAAATTCTGAGTCCTTGAGAGGAATCCAACCTCAGATCTTTGGATTCTGCGCTCTGATGCTCTGTCCCTGAGCCACAGACTCTACGGTGAGCGTAGAAAAGGTGTGGGTGAAAAGATACGCTGCAATGATAGAAAGTATCACAGGACACTGAGTAAAGTTTGGTACCCAGACCAATCCATTGGGTTTTCATTGCTCTGAAACACTTATTTCCCAGCAATTTTTATTTTGGATCAGGAAAGAATTGTTAGGGGAGAAGTTCACCCCAATAATCAGGAAGCCCAGCTGATGCGTGAATTCCTGGCTCAAGCCAAGAAGGCATTGGATTTTGCCTCAGGAGTGATAGACTTAATGGAACAAAAACTTCCACCTGAACCAGAACCAAAACCTGAACCTGAACTGGAACCTCAACCTAAGAAGAAGAAAAAGTCTCACTAAAAGAGAGTGGTATGTAACTGACCAAATCAACATCTTTCTTTAGTTACCATTTGTATTAAGAAAGGTTGTAACTATTGCTGAAAGATGTGGCTCAATTGAAACCCTGTCATTTTTCAAAAGCAGACCTTGTCTTGTTAAGTGCAGTTACACACACCACAGTAAGGGCATTTCCCAGGGTAGATCTTTCTTTGTTGTATCTCATGCATTTTTTTTAGGCATCGTGTTCACCAGTGCTTACATGCAATTTGTGATTTGCAAAAGTCATGCAACAGAGCCCTTAAGTCTCATGCATTAAGCATGAGACTCATGGTTCAATCTTACGTTTTCACATGGAAGTTTTTATTTCTCATGCATGTATGATTTTGATTGAAACTTCTGATTTTGAGATAGCAAACAGCTGCTGTAGTTAATTGCCTATCAAATGAATTATCCTTTTAAATATTATTTACTCCCTGTTCCCTTTGTACTCACTTAGAAGACTTTCCAAAGGTGGTCATTCTTGCACAGAATAAAGGAATGCACATCTTTAATGGCTACTTCAAAACTTTTAAGGGAAGCAGACCCTAATACCCCCCCCCCCCCCCCCCACTAGTAAGGGATGCCTGCTGCGTCTCACTCTTTGCTAGCAAATCCATTTGAGAGCTTGATCTGCATGCAACCTCTCCTAGTCATGAGGTCTGATTTTATTTTCCTATAGGTCCTATAGTAATGGGCAAATCAGTGCAAAGAAGATTTTGAAGTGGTTATTGCTTGCAACCATATCACAGAGTACTTATCTCTTAATAAGAGACATTTGATATGAGCATATTTAAGTGCATGCATGGAGTCTTCCTTGTGCATGGCTTTGGTGTTAAAGATTGCTAAGCAATGGATTACTTGGATTCTCTGACTTGTGTTAAAGACCAAGCTAAGCATTCTTTTCTGATTTCTTTTAACCTCTATGGCACCTATTCCATGGAATGTCAACTATGTTGATCATGAAATTTTTCCTTTCCACATTGCCTTCATTTTTCTTGCAAGGTTGTGATATTTTATTGCCTTTATCACCACTGGTTTTATTAATTTCATTCATGGATTGATATGAATATTTTTGTTTGTCTTTCAGTTGGTAGTTAAGCCAAGTTCAACTTGACCACCTGATTTCTCTCACTTGATTCCTGTTGTGTAGGAGTATTATTTAGGTGACCTTTGTGTAGATCCTGTAGTTGTAGGGAAAACTGTCACTACCATAGCCTTAGTATAATAAATTTTGTTTAGTCCTCCAATCCATCATAATTTGGGAAAGCTTTTATTCAGTGGTTCTATTGGAGTAGTTGGTTGTAGACAAAGCATTGACAGTCCTCTGGACAAGTAGTTAAGCATATCTGTATGTGAAATTATTGTTAGACATGTGACTCTCAAACTGAGTGAATAACAACTAGTGAATTTAATGACCAAATAGGGGAAAAAGTAATGTGACAAGTGACCAAAGATAAAATTATCTGAACAGTTATCAATAACACTTGGTGTGTCATAGAAATTTCCTGTTTGTCTCAGGCAATTGCTTTGGTTTTGTATTCTTTATTTAGACCTTGTGGGACTTTGCATTCTGGCTTTATTTAGAAAAATTTTCTCATTTTAATAGCTTTCTGTTGATATTATTTGTCTAGTTTGACCCTAAGCCTAACAGCATTTGTACACTGATGTTTTATAAACTTGCTCATTTTGCTATTGTTTCTTCAGTGATTCACTTTATCACAGCTTGAATTTCTTTTTCAATCATTGGTTGTAAATATTTCTCTAAATTCAGTCTCACTTTGTGCCGAGTCATCGGCTGTTACTGTTTTTTCTCATTTTAAACTGGACTAGCGTTTGTTACATAATTTTGTTACAGCGTAACTCCTGATGTTAACCTTTGGTTGTGTTCTTCGTGTAATGGTTTGCAAATTTTATCGCTTTTACTTTTTAAATTCATTTACATCAATTGATATGGTATTTAGGCTTATCTTAGATTGGTTATTTTCCATTATTTTAATGTTACTCATTCCGGGTTTTCTCCTTAATTTATTGTTCGTCCTGATATTTTAATAAACTCGTTAACCTTAAACTTGATGTGAAAGTTTTGTCTGCCTTACATTAGGATTTTCGGAAGATTTTCGGAGTGATGCCTTGTTTTTTGTTTGTTTGTTTGTTTGTTTGTTCGTTTGCTTTAGGTTTTTGTGATGCACATGAAACGGTAATTACGCTCAGCAGTTTCAACTCCCTTTTTGGTGATTCGTTCCCCTTACCATTTCACCCCGAGATGGGAGAGGTACTCTTCGGAATTCTCGACATTATTCTGACCCTATTTCTCTACGAACCGTTACCATTTTCATACATAAAATTATCTTTTGTTTGGGAACCCATCGCACTTTTATATAGCATAAATAACTTTAAGCTAAGAATAACTACCACGTGAACATGAAAACAATCTTAAGTAACCAAGTGTTAATCAATTGTACAGGGTGTTCAAAAGTTTGTGCCCGTTTTGGAACATAGATGGAAAAAAATTTTCTGTCGAGGTTTCCTTGCTAAAAGGACGTAAAAAAAAGTTGGTGATTTCACGTCTTTTGTTCTGTAGGGGACGGCTAAGAAATGTACGTGTTTCGCAATTGTTCTGCTTATTAGATATTTTGTTTCTTTTGCTTTCTCGTCGCCGTCGTGGGTTTTTTTTCAAGTTCCTATTGTTTTTGGGACCAGATCCTTGTCAATAATGCTCCGGAAATTTTGCACTGGGTTAAGGACTGGTGATTTTGCAGGCCACTCATTTTTTCTTGTAAAATTGGGTAAGTTTCTCTGGCTTCATGTCTCATTGAATTTGCAGATGGCATTCCGTTTGTCAATCTTGGTCCATCTTCCATTAATTGCTCCAGTCTCTGAACTATCATGTCGCCACGAGTGCACAGTTCCTTCGAACGAGAGATCCCGTCTCAAAATTTTGCGACGATTGCTAGGCTGGTCGTTACAGCCAGGAAGGATCCAGAGGCAATAAGTCCGTTTTCCAGTCTTTCTGATCCCCAGTTAAATTAAAATCAAAAAAAGAAACGAGCGCCCTGTTTCGCCCTCCCTTGAGGTACCAAAAGTAAATAAGCGCCCGGGCGTTAACTCGAATTATTATGTTCTGCGAAAAAGGCAAGAAATAGCGGTTCCCTAAAGGGATCATATCTCCTAGGGAATTTAATATTTCTGACCTGTTATTTTAACAAAGGAGGTAAGTTTCTAAAGAAACAGTGGTGCTACGTCGGTAGGAGAGTATAGCAGGTAATTTAGCGTTAACAACTGAATTGAAAATGTAAATTGGCCACCGTAAAGAGTTAAAAGACTGACGTTTCGAGCGTTAGCCCTTCGTCAGAGCGATTTCCAGTTGACCAATCGCTTTGAAGAAGGGCTAACGCTCGAAACGTCAGTCTTTTAACTCTTTACGGTGGCCAATTTACGTTTTCAACTCAGTTTTTAATACAAAATTACCTGTTATTTTAACAAATTTGTCAATTCATGATACTAAGTATTTTCGCCAGGTATGAGCCAAATAAGTGATTTGAGCATTATCACCCTCAGCTTGATTTTCTCGTGGTCACGCTCTTAAGTCACAGCCTGTCATTCCACCCCAAATTATCCATGTTGCACTTAGTTTCACCTAGTAAGCTGGTGACTTGACTCTTGCGAACCCCAGGCTACATCGTTCTTGGATTCGGTAACCGAGAAAAGCACTCAGTACATTCATCTGTGAAAAAAAAAATTTCCCATTCTTCTGCTGTTCTTTTTTTATAAGAAAACCGAGTTTGGCGCCAATTGTTACACCAAATGATTTCGTAATTAAAACCTGTTTCATCCGAGTACTGTCCATTGTGACTGCATGATGGGGAAGCAGTAAGAGTATTTAGCCTCTGGCCGGATCCTCTCAGCATAAATTCCTTTTTAGTCATATTTAGAGTAAGTTTGTTTGCTTTAACAAAGTAAGGCATGATTCAATGTTGCCTACATCATTATTTGCATATGGGAGATGCGTTTCATCGGCGTACATCCTCGGTTTACAGTTTGACAAAAATTTGGAAGTTAATTTTTGTATAATAAGAATAACAGTGAACCGAGGATGGTCCACCCCCCACCCCCTTCCCCGAGGGACACCGCAGGTTAGTACACTGCTGTCAGATAAGGACCCACTAACTGAGCACTGTTGTGTGCGGTTCTCCAAGAATTCCCAGATATACCATAAAGGTGAAGCTTAATTAGATAGAAGAGTGTTGTGGTCAACGATATCGAAAGCTTTCTCTAGATCTAGAAAAATTACCGCGTTGATTTTCTCAATGTCTATATTATATGCTCAGGAGTCAGTTACCTCAAGCAAAGCTGTAACAGTCCAGTGAATAGCAAAAAAACCCAACTGACGTTTGCATAGTATATCGTGCTCCTGTAAATAGGCATAAAAGTTTGGAAATTTTTTCTCTCCAATACCTTGACCACAACTGTGATAACCGAGATCGGACGGTAATTGTTTACTTCGTCTCAATCACCTTTCTTGAAAAGGGGTGTGACTTTGGCAGATTTCCAGTCTTCTGGAGTTTACCCTGTCTGATAGATTGATTAAAAATATCGCATAAAGGCACACAAATGAGGTCGGCACACTCCCGAATACGTCTCGCAGATACTCTGTTTAGGCCAGTTGCTCATGAGTGAAAGGACTTTGCTTGCATTGGATCTCTAAGGGCTTGGTTAGTGAAACAAATCTATCCAATGAAAAGGCAAAAATTTCGATTCACACCAACCTTACTTTCTAGTACATAAAAGGCTAAGTAAAGACGCTATGAGATTCGAAAAAATAAGAAATAGACATAGCCTTGCTTTTGCTCGAACTTGGTGAACGTGAAATATGTAGAAAGGAAAATGTTCTGTACGTGCGAATCAAATTAACCCGACGGAAAAAATTAACGTGCATGCTTCAGCTCTTGCAATTAAATATAACTGAGAGTGGGAGAACAATTTATGAAAAGAGAGGCCTTGAGGCTACTCAGAACAAATTATTCGGCGTAAACATGCGAAGAGGCTATAAGTTTCCTTCCCTCATAGGAGCCTGAAAAATCATTCAATCGTGACAGCAGAGCTGAATATTCAACCAAGCGAGTATTACTAAGTTGAATTTATTTAGAGTTTTCAATTCTTTCCCTTAATGTTTTTGTTCTCTCATTGTTGAGTTTAGTATTTAAGGTTTAGTTTTTACAGGTCAACAACAGCCGTGAACAGTAGTTATTTTTTTTTACGTACTCATGTATGTAGGAATGGATGTATCTACACTCATGTGATCGTAGTAACTCCGACCTCACTGCATCATTTCCCCCAAAGTTCTTCAGGTTACTAATATTAGATAAGTTGCCACAAAGGTTAACATCAAATTGCGATCACACCCAACATGGCTCGAGGAATATACTGTTATTCATTTGCTGCGTTTCCTTTCATCTCTTCAGGTGAGTACAAATATCATTAGAGGCTTCTCTTCCTAGTAAGTAATTTACAACTAAGGTGAAGAACTCCCGCATCAGAAAGTAGTTGAGGTAAATTATGTGGGGGGTTTTGATGCGTAACTCTGCTTTTCATATTCCCCTCATTTTGATTCAAGATTTCCTTCTAAGAGTCATAATGTGTTGTACTAAAGTGAAGAAATGAAATAATTGAAGTTGAAGATACTTTGAAGTTGAGGCTAGATTGCTGGGTCAGAAATTCAGAAACCGGAGAATGTAATTACCTATGCCATTAACTCAGTTACATTCACATCGAAAGCCGTAAAGTTGCGAAACTTTACTGAGAAAACCGTCAGCAGTTTCTCCACGGTGAAAGGGCTATGAAGATAATCTTATAAAGGAGGGAAAAGGGCGCAAGGCATATGTAAAACGACAACATGGCTACGACATTGCCGTTTTCCTGACACGTGGTCTCGCACTCGCGTCCACGGCATGTCATGTCGGCATGAGTTACATTCAACAGCGGCTTTGAAAATTTGAAAGTAGCCATCGCTGTATTCATCGACTAAATTTTCCAAACTTATTAATCCTGATGATGAAAAGGACTTCAATAGCCACAGCCTCATCACCCTGCCGATTTCTGAGAGTAAGTATTGTATAGGCGAATCATGTCCGTGTGGCATAGCGGGCACTCTTACTCGTCGAGGAAGAAGAAAAAGAATTCAACCGTGGATCATCCTAGGATCAGGATACGTTACTATTAACGCTAAAACATCTCTCGAGTATAGATGATGTTAAGAACACGAGACATCGTTACTCGTCAGCTCTGGAGTTAGTAAATGCGACTATATTAAGTCTTATTTTCCCAGGCGATGATCCAAACCTTTTGCTTTCAGAGGCATTAACTCGTGTAGGGAATGAAAATATCCTAATTATGATTTGTAGTTAAATTTTTTTTGCGATCACAGTTATCTAGTGTCAATATACTGTGTGTCGATAACCATATATTGAATTCCTTCCATTTTGATTAATCCACAGGAAATTCAAGTGAGAGAAAGTCACGCTTCAGCTTAAGTCATGGCCACCGTTGCCAATGTTAGAATGAAAAGGATTTTGAACGAGGATTGGTCGAGAAACCAAAAGACAAAATAATGAAAAGTTAAGCTTGAGGATGGTAGAAAACTCTCTATCTTAAAAAACAACAACACAACATTAAGTTTTTCATTTTGGACAAATTGAAAAAAAAAAACCAATGAACAAGGCATGATTACCTTCATATAGTGGGACACAAGAACAAATATGACAGCTAAGACAAATCATCTGAACATGTCTAGTCAAATAGACTTATCAACTCACACTACATAGTTTGCTGATACTAGCACCAGGCAAGGCACTTGTCACTTACAAACCTACTAATGGCCTCATGGTTTTCAGTAGATCAAAGGCAGAGCATCAGAGTGTGAAATGCAATAGTCTTGAGTTTGACTCCTTTATCCCATGGTGGTGACAAAACAAATATCATCTTCATTCAATGACTGAGCCCAAATTAACCATCTTTCTTTTTTATTTGCTCACACAACCCTTTGGACATGGTTGATCCTGGCAATATGCAGGCTGCTTGACACTTTAGAACCTAGTTAAGGCCTACTTCACCTGTGTGTTCTCTGTAACTAAATGTAAGGGTCTGGGGTTTGATTAATGGTGGAGACTCTGATCTTTTGTTTTTCTGATGCTCGTAAAAAAATGAACATCTTTCTAATTACCTTAGATATAATTGGTCTGAATGACACTGGATAGTTTTTCCCAACATGTGTTCCTGCTTTCCTAACACTATTCTATTTCCAGGTGAGGACATTGCAATTTGGTCCAGTTTGCCATTAAATTTTAACATGCAAGATTGTAGTTTTTCTTATCTTTAGTTTCATTACATTGGAGAATTGATTTTGTTTTCCACTAGGAAGAAAATGTCCAGGGTACTTTATACAATGAAGAGATAATCTGGTTTCTGCACCAAGAAAGGTATGTGATTACCACAATGTCAAGTTCATAATAATCATAATTACAAATTCCTTGGTACATTTGTTAAACATGCACTTATAGGGTAACAAAAAATAGTCTCAACAAAAACTTATTTGTGTAAATATGATTTGTTTGCATTAATATTTACCTCTTATCCTCAACATACTCAGTTTTTACATCTCCCTGATCTCCTCCTCTAACAATTATTATATCATTCCATAAATAAGACCAAAGCCTCTGTAAAAGGCCAGCATCAAGTGTCATCAAATAGTGACATAAAAGTAGTTGTCCTTAGACTAAAACTAGAGCCTTGAAACATGTTGGATTGAGCAGCTTACTCAAAAGAATGAAGGGAGTAACCATATCTGTGATAGACTAAAATTTTGAACTAATCAGTTTGAAACTTTTCTTGTATTTTCCCCACTAATCATTTCTTAGTAATTACAACTAAAAAATGGATCACCAAACTCGCAAAGAGATATGACTAGCTAATCTGCCCCAACAAGCTCCACTTATGCCTTTTACTGGTATTTGAATAACCCTAATGTTCTTCTATTGGTTTACAATACACCTTATGGTCGCTGGAGGCGAGGGTCTTGATAGAAAAAGTTGAAAAAAAACATTTGAGAAATATGGAGTCTCCAGCATTTGGAAGGTTGTAATATACTTTGAGTTATGCCTTTGTCAGTCTAATTGTTCGTGCTCTGAGTTATGATCTTTCCTTCCTTCTGATTGATTTGCTTTTAATTTTTTTCTTCAAAGAAGACAATTTGTGCATAAAAAGTATGAAATAAAATGAAACATGTTGCTCGTGGAAAACAAAAGCCCATCTATTGACTGTGACATATAACCAAAAAAAGATTTGCATGTTGCAGGACTCGTAAGGCGTCACTGGCTATTGTTATGCACAGTACAAGATGCACAGCGTGATACCAGGGGAATCACCCTGACAGACTATGGCGCGCAAACGATGAGACCGATTTACGCATCTGGAACAGCCACAAACTTGAACAATTGGTTTTGGAATATTCCATTATGAAAAAAATATAGGCTATGGAGTTCTTGGTTCTTCCATAACCATAGTATTAAAGATTTTGCTTTTGTTTTAGATTTACAAGAACATACATGGATCGTCAACAGAACACTCCAGTTGAACATAGTGATGATGAGGTACCATGTTATGAACACATTGATGTTGTAAAAATATAGATGTAAGTTTTAACAGGATGACTGGCTAGATGTAATAAGTTTCTTTTTCATTAAAAACTATTGCGGTTACGTTTGAGTCACATTCATTATTCTGCACTTGATAGGTGAATGTGTTACATTACGTATCTGTTCTCCATCGAATTAGAATTCTTCATTGACATGTATGACAAACTTTAGAGATGAAAGGAAATATATCAGGGTGATGGATAAAGCAGAGAATAACCAATGCCCTTTTTCAGAATGACTCTAGATTGTTGGTTACATCTGCCAACAGTTGAGAGTGACTGAGAAAACATACATTTTAAATGTTAACTCAATTGAGATTATCAGACTAAGATATGTTGAAAAACCTATTATTTAGTGTAATATTAATAACAATCTTACATTTCTTAACATTTCTGTAGTTTATCTTGCATGTCTTGCATGTAAATGCACTCACAGGGTGCTATGCTTGTGGTTAAATTGATTAAATTTCTTCAAGAGTAGACTATTGAAAATATCACATAGAATTTAGAAGATTCTATGGGCTGTCATTGGTTTAGCATGCAAAGAAGTAAGCCTTCTTCTATTTCTGAAAGAAGTACTTCTTAAAGTCTTAAGGGCTGTATTATTTACTATTTCAGAGAGAATAATTTTCAAGGCAGGAATTTTTCTTTAAAAGAGTTGTGCTAAAACAATATTTAGTTTTTCATTTTGGAAAAATTAAAAAAAATCAACCAACAGGGCATAATCGCATTCATATAGTGGGATGAAGGATAAAAAATGAAAACCAAGATGATTCACCTGAACATATATATTCAGATAGACTTATTAGCTCACACTACACAGTTTGCTGATACTAGCAGCAGCTAAGGTGCTTGTCCCTTGAAAACCTACTAATGACCTAGCTTAAAGCATCGAGTTTTCTGTAGATCAGTGGTATAGCATCAGAGTGTGAAATGCAATAGTCTAGAGTTTGACTCCTTTATCCCATGATGGTGACAAAATAAGTACCATCTTCATTCAATTACTGAGCTCAAATTAACCATCTCTCTCTTTTATTTGCATACACAATCCTTTGGACATTGTTGATCCTGGCAATATGCAGGATGCTTGACACTTTAGAACCTAATTAAGGCCTGCTTCAACTTTGTGTTCTCTATAACTAAATTTGAAGGTCTGGGGTTTGATTAATGGTGAAGGCTCTGATCTTTTGTTCATATCATGCTTGTGAAAAAATGAACAACTTTCTAATTACCTTTATAATTGGTCTGAATGACACTGGATGGTTTTTCCCAACATGTGTTCCTGCATTTCTAACACTATTCTATTTCCAGGTGAGGACATTGCAATTTGTTCCAGTTTGCCAGAAAATGTTAACATGTAAGATTGTTGTTTTTGTTACCTTTGGTTTCATTACATTGGAGAATTGATTTTGTTTCCTGGCAGCTAGAAAACGTGCAAGGTACTATATACAATGAACAGATACTCTGGTTCGTTACTTTGGTATTGGTGTTAATCCTTCTACACCAAGAAAGGTATGTGATTACCAAATATCAAATTCATAATAATCATAATTGCAAATTTCCTTGGTACAATTGTTAAACATGCACTAATATAGTAACAAAGAATAGTCTCCACAAAAACTTATTTGCGTAAATATGATTTGTTTGCATTAATATTTACCTCTTATCCTCTACTCACTTTTTTTACATCTCCCTGATCTCCTCCTCTGGCAATAATATCCTTCCATGAATAAGTTAAGATCAGAGTGTTTGTGAAAGGCCAACATCAAGTGTCATCAAATAGTGACATTGAAGTGTGAAAGTTATTTTTAGACTAAAACCAGAGCCTTGAAACATGTTTGATTGAGCAGCTAAATCAAAAGAAAAAAGAGAGTAACTGTATCTGTGACAGACTAAAATTTTGAACTAATCAATTGCAGGGGGTTACCAAAATATAGAAATATGTCTTGCTGAAAAGAAAAAACCTCCCATCCATTTCTTAGTGGTCACCTTTTTTTATAACACCATGTTTGAATACTGGGTTGTATTACCTCTTAGCTCAATTAATGTTTCCCTTTTACTTTCTTCAGGATGCCAAGAGAATACTATTAGATACCTTCACTGGAAAAACACATTTGCTGTTTTAAAATGTTTTAATTGTTACAAATTCTTAATGTTTCCTTCTTTTATTGGAAATGTAAATTCCTTTGTTTGCAAGAGATTGATGTTATAATGTTAATGAACTAGGATAGTACAATAGGACAATAGGGAACTTGATTAAGTGCAAAGGTTACATAAGGTAACACATGTCCCAGAGCAGAACTTTAAATAGACAAGTTGCATGCATTTTGTCAGTTGTAGCTTTAGGATTTAGTAGTGTATATTAAAGTTTGGTCAGCTGATTTAAATCCACAGTGTAGTGATGTTATTCCACAATTAGACACAGCAATTGAGCTTTAATAACTAGAAACCAGATAAGGTTGTGTCTAGACAAATTTATGGACTAAAAATTAAATCTTGTAAAATTAATTATTAGTGATTTTAAATTTTTTAAGCTCTAGCTAAGGCCTTATCACCAATTTACTGTACATTATGTACTTTTAATAAACTAATATGGCTTAGCTTTTAAGAAATGTCTCCTGAGTCTCATGCTCTGTAATTTATAGTTGCTGAAATGCTTTTTAGTTGTTACTGTTGCCATGATTGTTCTATTATGACCTGCAAAACGTTTTGATGCAATGCTTATGTACTTCATACTCTAGAAAACAATCATAGAACAGGAACAAAGCAGTTACCCTTGTAGAAGACACAGGGTCCCTTTGCTGGGTTATTGTGTTGTGTTCTTTGGCCAGAAACTTTACTCCCACAATAAACTCTCTTCATCCAGGAGTAGAAATGGAAACTGGTGAACTGTTAACCCTTTAACTCCCGTGAGCGACAAAGACAGAATCTCTCCTTACTATGTTGGTTCTAAATCAACCCGTGAAGTGATGAAATAAACGGTTAAGAATGTATGAAAGTCATATATTTGAACTGCGGATAAAGACGTGAATGAAATTATTTTTAGAAATGATTTAGAACCAACATCACGACCAGCTCCCAGTTGGCTTGTTAGCTCAGTTGGTAGAGCGCTGCACCGGTATCGCAGAGGTCATGGGTTCAAATTCCGTACAGGCCTGAATTTTGTTCAGGCCTTATTTTCACTACTGCCTAAGTAGTGCACATCGGCTGCGAGGATCACTTTCATTCACTGTTTATCTTATGTACATTTTTATTGTTTTAGCCTGATACTTTTGATTTTAGTGAGCATTTTATTTTATTTAACTTACTGCCATGCGTCTTGTACATGAGCCTCTGGCTTGCATACACAGGGCAACCGATCCCACGCACTGACATTAGTAAATTGATTGAGTTATAGATTCATTAATTGTCCTGCAATCGGTTGTTACTTTGGCATCTTGCGCATTCTCAGTTCATTCTCGTGTGATCGATTGTTGCCTTAGCATCTTGCACATTCTCAGTTCTCTCCTGTATTCGATTGTTAAGTTAGTATCCCCTGGAATCTCAGTTTTCTCCTACATTCAGTTGTTGCGTTAGCATCTCGTTTATTCTCAATTTTGTCTCGTATTTGATTGTTACGTCAGTACTTCGTTCATTCTCAGTTTTTTCTCGCATTTGATTGTTACGTTTGTTTCGCGCGCAATGTCAGTTTTCTCCTGTTTTCGATTGATATGTTAATTTATATCGGATTGGATTGTTGTGTTGGTATCTTACGCATTCTCAGTTTTCAACTTCATTCGATTGTAACATTCCGCATACTGCGCGTTCTCCGTTTTCTCCTGTATTCAATTTTTTCTTTAGCATTTCGCGCATTCCCAGTTTTCTCCCGTATTCGATTATTTTCATCTTGTATTCAATTTTTACGTTAGTATCTCGTGCATTCTCAGTTTTCTATTGTATTCAATTCTTACGTTGGTATCTTGCGAAAAGAAGATAGAGTTTATGTTCGCAAGCATAGATAATTTTAAAATTTGTTTGGGCTAGACTGAGGGTAATTTCAGCCCGAGCCGTTTGAAGAGGGTTAAAATGACTCTGAGAAGGGTTCAAAAAAATTTACGCATAAGAACATACACTCTTTTTCTATTTTTTGTTTGTTTGTAATAACGTCTAATTTTGGGGCTGAGGCTGAACGCTCTTCTTTTTTTTTTGCGATTTGAGCCTAAAACCAAACGTTCTTAACCTTTCCTTGAAGTTGTGAGGTATAGTATTTCAATACATCAATTCGGACGTGATCAGACTACAAACTGAGTTGTTCTTTAATGTATCGTGCAGTCGGAAAACCGCATTGTTAATTTTAAAAAAGGTCTCTTAGTATTTTGTCCTGTTAGGTCACAGTTTTACATTTCTTTTACCTTTATTTAAACTTTCCACATAAAAAGTACAAAATAAAGACTTTCTTAACTGACTCTCCGCCTGGGTATGTTCTTAGAATGTTCTTAAAATTTTGGGTAACCTCAGCCTGAATGTCCTTATAAAACGGGAATATAAATTTTATTACTATTACAATCACTCTTGAGGGAAATGAGAAATTAAAAAGTGACAATAATGTGAATAAAACAGTCTGAACAATCACGTAAGCGTGCGAGAAATGCCAAAATCTCTACTCCAGTGGAGTTAGAACAGTCAGCCTGAGCGACAGTGTAAGTGATTCTTTCTGTGATTCTTTGTCCTTCTTGAGTACATCGAGCTAATGCTTTTGGTACTTTCACGAGGTAGAATATCAAGCGTTACATTATTTGAATTCATTCCTTAATAAAGCTGGAAATCGAACGATCTGTTTTTCCTTGACCGTCATTTGCAAACATTGATAAGAGAGGTTAATAATTCTGATTCATTATAAAGAACTTCCAACTGAGCAACTTCTCTGACTCGCCATTGTTAAAGACGATAAACACTCAATTTAAATATGCATACTGATTTGATAGGTAATTGCTCAAATGGTTGTGGCATTGTTACCTACTAGAAGTTTGGGGAACATTATAGATTTTTACCTAAATTGATATGATTTTTTGCTTGTATCTTGCTGTATACCGTCAAGGTATATATTGTGTAAATGCACAGGAGTCCTCGCCTGCCCCAATCTGCTACTCAACTAGTAATTTAGTGTTAACAACTGAGCTGAAAACGCAAATTGGCCACCGTAAAGGGTAAAAAAGCTGACGTTTCGAGCGTTAGCCCTTCGTCAATCGCCCTGACGAAGGGTAACGCTCGAAACGTCAGCTTTTTTACCCTTTACGATGGCCAATTTGCGTTTTCAACTCAGTTGTTAACACTAAATTACCTGCTATACTCTATCACCGACGCAGCACCACAGTTTCTTCAGAAACTTACCCCCTTTATTCACCTGCCACGCAGCTACTTTGGAACGGACGCTGTAGACCGTGCGCTTCCCCCAAGTCTGATATCATTGTAAAAAGACCGATATTCAACAATTAAGAACATATGCATGTGTCAATAGCATCTTGTTTTACAATAAAATGGAATTTAACTGTCAAGGTATGTTATAACTTCGCTCTTGCTGTGACAGCCATGTCTTTATATTGTAATGTAGACACTCATGTGACCGTAGTGACCAGATGAAACGCCCACAAAAAGCCTCTAACGTTTGATTTCGTCCAGCTATGGAGTTAAAGGAATTTCGCCAGTCGGCGATAGAGCCAAGATCGACTGAAGTTGTAATTCGTTGGGATTTGTTTGATTTTTTCAGGTAACTATAACTATCATTATAAACTTTACTAATTAATAAGTACGCGTAAATAAATTTTAAATATAGAGCTTAAGAAGTTCTAAAAGGGGCCGGAGAAACCTCAGATTGTGTTACGTTTTCAATTCACATCAAAACGTAACCTTCAGGAAAATTGCCATGTACCAAGTCGCAAATTTCGTTCGTAATTCTCGATTTTACAACGAAATTTTAGACAGTCGTAGGATTGAAAAAGGAGTGGGCGAAGTGGACAAAAAGCCAGTTACACGTGGCTGCTGCTCCATGGTTTTACTGCTCACAGCATGGCAAGTTCCAACACAAAACGCTACTTTTTCAAAGCTTCTTTTTATACCAACCCTAGCAGACTTAGTAATTTTCAGGACAAAAACGACGCGACCGAGCCCCGACAGTAACTGATTACTGAGAGTTAGTTTTGATGTTAGTTTTAGATATTGTTGTTGTTGAGTTGGATTTAGAGTGGAAGACGGATCAGTTACCTGAAGGTAGGTAATTTGCTTTTAAATTTATTGTCAATTTTTTTTTAATAATGTAATTATGGTTTCATTAAATATGTCAACAGTCAGGTACACGCCAGGCTCTGGGGGCTATGGCTATCGGTGTTAACCGTTCACGAGCTAGATTTGGAACTTGGATTGATCACTCAATCACCGAAGAGAGGCAAACATGGGCAACAAATTTTTATTGAAAAGTTGAACTTGATGATGGGAGATAGCTTCGTGGTGATAGCAACAATAATGAAAATGACTTCAGGTAGTATCCTAACGGCTTAGAGGTACGCCCGAGGAGCACTATATAGTAATGAGTTTCCGAGTCGGGTGATTATCCGAAGTTGTCTGCTATTGCAATATGGCAGACTATTCCAGTAACACCATTCGCGATTTACCCACAGTCAAGCGACGTGATTGAACCAGACATGAACGTTATAACATACTTTAAATGCGAAGAATACATTGTTGAGTTTTAATCAAGGAAATTTCGCCAAATTTTGTATGGCTGTTTCCTTCACCCTCTTCGATCTTTAGTTTCTTGTGGCTGCTGAGACCTGCGCTTGCAAAGGTAAACAAAATTTATGAATATTATCGCCACTATAGTGCCCTTGACATAGTTCTACTGGTGGAAAGATTCCCAAGATGAAATTTCTATTGTCTTGTACCTCTAGCTGGTAAGATCTTTCAGGGCTTAGAAAATATTACCAGCTAGAGGTACAGCTTGCATATTTAGCCAACTTTGCTCAATTGTTCTCAGGCTAGCTTAGAATTTATTAATTTGAAATTCATTTTAAACATAACAATGTTAATGATTCCGGCGGCCCCTCTAGCTGGTAGTGTTCGCTGAGTAATCTAAGATCCTACTAGCCAGATGAACAAGACTGCAAAGCATAAAAATATACCTATGGAGTGACTCCACAACAGTATAAGACTAACATGGAATGTAGAAAGGTTTTCCATAAATCAAGAAGTAAATGAAATGAGCTAAATTCACCTTGACTGTACAAAGTACCTCTAGCATGTAGTATTTTCTAAGACACCTAAGATCCTACCGGCTAGAGGTACACGGCCAAGAAACAAGAAGATATTCATGAAAAAAGTGATTCTAATGCAGTGTAAGACTAAATGGAATGCCAAAAAGTAAAACTCAAAGCAAACTGTCATTAAAATTGGGCAAAGTCAATTAAATATGCTAGCTGTACCTCTACCTGGTAGTATTTTCTAAGCCTCTTAAAATCCTACCAGCTAGAGGTACAAGACCAAATATAAATGCAAATGTACTCTTGTAAAATGTTATTCCATGGAGTGTAAGACCACCACTTGGAGTGCAGAAAAGTAAAATGCGGAGCAAACCATGATAAAAATTGGAAAAGTCCACTAAGCATGCATGCTGTACCCCTTGCTGGTAGTATATTCTAAGCCCCCTAAGATCCTACCAGCTAGAGGTACAAGACCAAATGAAAGTAAATATAATTGTACTTATTGTTAAAAAAAAGTGATTAAAATGGGTGTAAGATTAATTTGGAGTGCTGAAAAGTAAAATGTGAAGCAAACCGTATTAAAAATTGGGCAAAGTCGACTAAATATGCAAGCTGTACCTCTAGCCGGTTGTATTTTCTAAGCCCCCAAGATCCTACCGGCTAGAGGTACAAAACAATAGAAATTTCATCTTGAGGATCTTTCTAACCAGTAGAACTATGACAAGGGCATTACAGTGGCGATACTATTCATAAATTCCGTTTACCTTTGCAAGCGCTGGTCTTAGCGGCTACAGTGTTAAGCTAAAACTCTGCTGAACAAGAAACTTAATATCGGCGAGGATCAAGGAAACAGCCATACAAAATTTAGTGAAATTTCCTTGACTTAAAGTCAACAATGTATTCTTTACGCGTAAAGCATGTTATAATGTTTATGTCTGTTTCAATCACGTCGCTTGACTGGCGGTAAATAGCAAATAGTGTTACTGCAGTAGTCCGCCATCTTGCAATAGCCGACTCGGAACTCGTTACTAGTGCTCCTCGGGTGTAATTCAAGCCGGTAGGAGGAGTTACGACGTCCTGACCTGACGTCCTGACGTAACGTCCTTGACTCATCACATACACGTGTGCCTCAATCTTCCGCATGAATGTCAAAACAAACAAGTAATTGTGAGGAGACCTCAATATCCTCACTTAATTCGATTTGATCGCACAGGTTATCATCAGGTAAGCGTATTTCTATGTTATTTTGAAATTCTTCTTCTTCAGAGCCTTTCATGGAATGATTTCCCAAGAGTAAATTGTTCAATTCAGTGCAGACGATCGAGAGAACAAGGGCAGATTCCCTTCGAGGAAAATGGTTGACTTCGTGAGGCTCGAAATCAAACAAAAAGTCGCTAATTGAGTGAATAGCACCACATCCTTTCCCAATTTCCTTTCCACTTGCAAACATGTCCTCGGGTGTAAAAATACGTACTAATCTAAAAGTACATACTTCCCAAAAATTACGCAAAAAGTTTTCCCAGTTAAAATATACGAACAGGGCATGCACTTTGGCCTCTCGTGGAGGCAGAAGAAACCACGATGAACCCAAGCTTAAGTAATAGCTGTTAGACGAATCTTTTTCTAATGTAAGTCAGCCATAAGAAGTGATATAAAAGGTACACGAAACCTTTAAAGAAAATCGGAAACAAATCAGATCAAAATTTCGCGTGATTTCATAAAGGCAGACAAGGCGCACGAATTATTGCGATGTAAAGATCTCGCTTTGAAGGAATTCCTCCAGGCAAAATCAAATTTCGGAATACCTTCATTTACACAGATTACTATCGCTGAAGTAGCCTATGTTACAAGATATAAAGGGGGTAAGTTTCTAAAGAAACTGGTGCTGCGTCGGTGGGAGAGTATAGCAGGTAATTTGGTGTTAAACATGTAAATTGGCCTTCGTAAAGAGTTAAGGCTGACGTCTCGAGCGTTAGCCCTTCGTCAGAGCGATTCCAATCAGCTAACGCTCGAAACGTCAGCCTTTTAACTCTTAACGGTGGCCAATTTACGTTTCAACTTAGTTGTCGACACGAAATCACTTGCTATGGTGCAAGATTTTCTGTATTTCCGGTGTAGTATGTATAGTATGTGTACATGAACTGTCAATCAAAAATAAATATAACTCCAAAAATAAACATAACCTCCTCTAAAAATAGAGTGTTCACTGTGTGAAACGTGAACATGGTGTCAGGATAAAACCGTAGGAATTAAACGTCTTCAAAGCAGTAAAGGTCGTCGTAACTCATCACGAGAAGCCGCTGAAACGTAGGTCTTAAAAGACAAAAGCAAGTTTGACAATACAGTTTTGAACACAAGACAAAATACGGAGAAGACATGCCAACCGAAGGCGAAGGAGGTTCGGCAGAAACGCCGCAAATGCAGACCGCTCCGACCGCTCCAGTTTTAGATTTTGCTTCGAACTTTCCAGTCCCAAGCCCAAGGAAAGTGTCAGGGAACAGAGTTACAAACTGGGAGTTCTTCAGACAACAGTGGGAGGATTACGAGCTTGGCACCGGGCTCGAACACCGATCAGAACCAGTCCGTTTAGCAACAAGTATGACGCGCTCACGGACGAGATGAATCGGAACAGGATCGTAATAGGAATCCAAGACAAAGGTACGAAGGTACGACTGCTCAAAGAAGAGAATTTGGATATGGACAAGACACTCAGTATTTGCAAATCGAACGAAGCGGCGACTAAACAGCTCGATTTCATGAAACAGGATCAAAGCCCAACAAACGAGCACGTCAACGCCGTGGGCAGTCAAGCGAAACGACCAAATGGCAAATGATCGCGCGATAGAAAGAAAGATCCAAAGGATACAAAGAATACGAAGAAGAATTGCAGCAGATGTGGTGGACCAAATAAGCACAAGAAAGAAGAGCGTAAAGCGTACGGTCAAACATGTCTTGTGTGTTTGAAGCCAAATCACTTTGCATCTGTATGTCGTCAGAAAAACAAGCCCACATGAGAAAAGACAACACATAAAGGTCGCAAGCAACCGATAGTGAAGATCCGCTCTTCAAGATCGAAAAAGTCTCCAGCGTGGAAACACCAGGCAAGCAATTTAACGCTAAGATAATCTTCTCAGACCTAGAAGAGTCATACTTCACCGAGTTATAATGTCAGTTAGACACCGGCGCTACGTGCAATGTGATGGAGCTCCTACACTTGGCAGTCGTAAAACAAACGGGCGACCCCCCTCTCAGAAGTAGTTACCCTGAAGACACACCAAAATAACACAGCCAAAGAGTTGGATTTCCAGGTTGTCGAAACAATAAACAAGCCTCTACTATCTGCTGAAACCTGTGAGAAACTCGGACTGTTTAAGCTTACCATCTCAGACACAGTACAAGTAAACAGTGTAGGTCCAGTATCAGTAAAGATGAGTGCTCCACTGATCAGAGAGAAAGTCTTGACCGAATACAAGGATGTGTTCAATTGCCTTGGTCATATAGGAGATTCCAGTAGTTTCACTATCGATCCAAACTATCCCCTAGTACAACACGTGCTGAGATACATACCAGTGACTCTGCAGAAAGAAGTCAAGGAGAAGATTGCAGAGTTGGAGAGGAAAGGCATTATACAAAAAGTGGCTGAGTCCACTTCATGGATTAGCAGTATGGTGGTACTTGAAAAGTTTCCTCCAACTTGTTCACCCTGAAATCTAAGGAATATATTGTGCTTACAGACAGTTACTCAGATTTCATAGAAGTTGGTGAGTTGAAGGACATGACCACAGTGTACATCATAAAGTTTTTCAAAGAGCAATTTAGCTGTTACAGCAGACCTGATGTACTTGTCACCAACACCGCCATTTGAGAGTATACGTAATTTTCCAGGGAATGGGAGTCTAAACACATGATGTCATCACCCAAGCATGTCAAATCCAACAGTAAGGCCAAAGCGGCAGCAGAAATAGTAAAGAAGATTTTCAAGAAAGCATACAGAGACAACAAGGACCCTTGGCTGGCATTGATAGATCAGCGCAACGTGCCTAAGCAAGGTGTTAATTCTAGCTTAGAACAGAGACTGATGGCATGAAGAACATGTACACTGTGACCCATATTAGCAAAGCTTCTGTACCCCAGGGTAGAAAAGTAGTGTTTTTGTAGATAAACTGTCAATCAAAAACATACACAGGCTTCTCTAAAAATGGCGTGTTCACTGTATGAAGTGTAAACAGCCTACTTGCAAAATTTTACTTGTGATGCAGTAACACAGAAGAAAAACCGTTTTTTTTTTAAACCATTATGAAATGGAAGCTTTGAGTAAACCCCAAAAAAAAAAGCTTTGGTTTTCTGAATTTAATGTTCCACATATTTTCACGAGAGTGTTTTACTGAATTATTTTGTTACAGATTCCAGGGATGGATAATCAACCCAATCCAGCACCTAAAATCCCACAAGAGGATTTGGATGAAGAGGTACAGTTTACATATTGTGAACATCATAATGTTATGTTTGTGTGTGAAACAAACAGCCAAATGAGTACACCCATCAGGTGCTAGTAGGTGGATTTCCCTATTCCATTCTGTAACGGACTAGGTGTGAAGTTTTGATTATTGTGGCTTTCTATTTACCTTTGGTTTTGTCATTAACAAGGCTGCAACTAGTACAGAAAAAATTAGATGGACATTTTAACAAAAGATATCACTAACTGTTGTGTACTTTTTCAAATCTCTTTTCAAAACTTTAGGCTGCTTTGCCACTTAAATGTGCAATAGTGATGTTTGTGTAGTTAATCTGAGTTGAGATGTGTTTGTATTGTTAATCTGAGTTGAGATGTATAGGCCACATGTTCCACCTTTTTGATGAAAAAATAAAAGGCAGATATACACTGTATGTTTTTGGATGGTTACATTTTTGAGACCAGGAGTAAATAGATGCATAACTTTCTTCCTTTCTACTTACAAAAGTAGAGTAAGAAAAACAATATGAATACATTCTTGTCACTTGTGTTTCTGCAGTCCCTCTACTTATGTATTTGCAGACAAGTTAATTGCATTATTATAATGTGGTCCATTTTTCTTTGAGATCTAAACCCTTTGGGTAAATTCACTGATTGCTTCATTCAAGGAAACTTGCTCTTGAACCTCTTTAAACAGATTGAAAATCAACGTGGTATTCTAATTGATGAAGAAATCTTCAACTTGGAAGAAATTAAACGGCGACTAGAAATGATAAAAACTCTACTGTCCTTACTGCTGCTGTGTCTTCACTTTTACAGGTAAAATATCAAAAACAAAGTTCATTTACTAAGAAAACATTTCTGAGGTACATTTGCTTTACATGCATGGAAAAGTAACACAAAATGAAGATAAAAAAGATTAATGGCAGGAATTTTGCTTTGGTTATTCAAATATTTGTGCCCTCCGCCTCAATAGACTTTCTTGGTTTCATCTGATTTCCTGCTCTAACAGTTTTGGATTGCTGCCATGAATGATTTAAATAAAAAAAAAATGGTAGAAGCCATGGACAAATATAACCTAATACAGACCTATTAATTTGGTAAATAACCTTTTAATATAATTTTATTTAAATTAAACATTGTTTATGCTACTTGATCAAGATCTTGAAAATCTGTTCATGATTGCCCACCACCTAGATTTTTGGGTGAAAATCAAAAGCATCATATTGGTTATTAGATATTTTTGTCAAGCTTGCTTTGGTGTTTAAATTATTGAGGACCTTGAGTGAAGCTTCATCATTTGATAATCCTTACTAGTACAAGTCTTCTGTGACTGCTTTTTAAGTCAGTAAGGGACAAGAGTTCTACTGTTGTCTCAACTGCCTTTATAACATTTTATTTTTCTTGTCGTATAATTAATTAAAATGAGGAATTATAGATGATACTGCCTAAAAGGCATATCTATGACTAATTTTAGTGAAAAAAGTACTGAAAGTAACATATTTACAAGTAATTACAGGGTGGTTAACAATCCCAGTTTTCTTGTTGGGGGATACCAGTTGACAATTCACAACTCAGTAAAGGAGTTAAATTTGGAACATGATGATCAGTCAGCTAAGAACAAATTCTGTGGGTGCATGATGGAAAGCTCAAGTTAATCAGTTGTTCAGTCTTACCAAACACCATGCCAAGGTGTCTATGCTCTGCTCACTTAAATGAATGTTTTGAAGACACTGAGGAGTGACTTGTGACATTGTTTTATTCATTTTCAGCAATGCTCCCTCTGAGAGAGACTAGACTCATCAAAATTTGACATGGAAAGAAGGTGATGTTACACTTAATATACTTTTATGCTGATCAATTTGACTGTCAACTGAGCCTGGGGAGTGGGGAATTTGAACCTTGCTTGGTTGGGGTGGGGAATTCGAATTGTGTCAAGTCTTTCCAATGGAATACAAGTCTTTTATCTTTCAATATGGCGGTTTTAAAGGTAAATAGTTCATTAGCAAATGGTTTGGAAGAAAGGGTTCACAAGGGCTAGGTTCAAAGCTTGGTCAGTGAGTAGAAAGTCACAGTTCTTGTTGGTTTTGCTTTTTACCAAAATACTGACCATCTAATCCTGCACTCATGCAGGGCATTACCGAAAAACAATCTTCAAAAGTTCAAATGCCCAGCTAGAGGGGGGAATTTTGAAGCTTCGAAATGACCAATACTTATTTCTGGCAAACTCAGGACCAATAATATTTTTAAGCCCATACACTTCTTCCTGAGCTAAAACTTGACCCCAGAAATGTTGGATGGGTAGAACACACTTCAAAAAAAGTCCTTTTTCTTCTTACATAACTCAGTTAAAATAGAAAGGAGTCTAACAATTGCTTTTGTCACCGAGAAAAATTTTATACCTGTGTATCTATGTTTGAGACACAATTCCACAAGTCACCATGCTATATAGATGTTTTACTGAATTGATGCAAAAACTCCCTTAGAGGTCACCTTTTTTAGTAACACAGAATTTGAATACAGGGTTGTTCTTCATCCAAGTTCACCTAATGTTTTCTTTTTATTTTATTCAGGTTGATAATAAGAGCATGGATAGCTTTGCTGTAAAGAAATATTTACTAAGTCTTATTAATTAGTGTTAGTATTTGCTGCCTTAATTTTAAAAGATAAAATTCTTGGAATCACAAAGGCTTTCATTTGTATTATACACAAAATATATGGCACTTTTATATGGCTCAGCTTTCAAGTTTGCCTTTTTTAAGTCTTGGAATTGTGAAGTATTTTTAGTAGTTTTCACTGCCATGGTTTTATAGATTGTATGTATGGCCAGTGTAAGGCTGCGACTTGTTTGTATTGTCACCAAACTATGGTTTGGCTTTGAAGTAATCCTTTGTTGGTGTCATGAACTTTAAGTCATGATTAAAATGCATTTTAGTGGTTTTTGCTACCATGATTGTCTTCATGTCTCACTAAAGGCTTTGATGCAATACTCATGTACTTTATACTCTAGAAAATAACCATACTCTAGTTGTCATGACTTTCATCTCCCCTCAAAAAGATCTTTGCTGAATTTGTTATATTGGCCTTCCTAAGAGATACAAACAACAGCCTCCATTTGGTGTCACAGTTA